TTGAGGGAGGAGTGAGGGGAAGGGGGCTGTCCCTCAACTCACTCTGCAGGGCTCCTGCCAAGGCTCCCCGCCACAGGGATAGACACAGGAGCGTATGGAGAAGCGGGCTAGAGAAGCCTGACCAAGGTTGATCCAGAGAAGAGAGTCTCTGTTGACCTCAGTCTCCTTGTCTGTTAAGTGGGGATGACAACGCCATACAATCCACCCACAGGGCTGTTTGTGTAAGAAAGTCGGCCAGATGGTACGGTGTAAACCCTACGTTGGCCACCAAACGTGTGGGAGAGAGCCTGGGAGTTACACCTTCTGTGCGAATTTGAACTTAAATACTGCAGAGCCAGGACTCGGGAAGACCCGGCTGCTCCTCCTCCTCACTCGGTGCTGTTCAGTTCTTGCTGAGTCCTCACACTGACTTGACCCGCAGCAGGCAGCTGATGGGAGGAGGAGGAAGGGGGGGTTGGCTCGAGGGAGAACACAGACTCAGGGATTGAGGTGCATGTGCAAGGGGCACGGCTAACGGAGCTGAGCCTTGTGCTGAGAAGCCTGTCCTACAACGGTGACCTAGTCTGTGGAAGATTGTCACAGTGTTTTGAAGCAGTGGAGAAAAGAGGATTGCCTCGGAGAATATTAAACTTGGGCAGGGCCTCAAATATCAAATGACAGCCATGTACCGCTGGACAACAGGGACTTGCTCCGATAAACACATTGTCAGGCGATTTGGAATTTCGCAGGTGTACTTCCCGCAAAGCTAGGTGGTACAGGGTCACCCCTAGACACCATCTCTCTTTTTTCTCCGGTACTGGGGCTCAAACCCAGGGCCTTTGCAGTGAGCTGCATCCCTAGCCCTTCTTATTGAGACAGGGTCTCACTAAATAGCGCAAGCTGAACATAAACTTTCGATCCTCCTGCCTCAGCCTCCTGAGTGCTAGGATTAGAGGCGTGCACTACCACACTCAGCTTGATGCAATCAAGAGGCACAGTGGGCACCAGACGTGTGAGGCTGCTGCTGCTGGTGTAACAGGGCACATTTCTTACAGAAGGCTTTTTTTTTTTTTAACTAAGTAGGAGTATGCTATAAAATAATGATACAGAGTGTAGTAAATACATAAACCAGTAACACAGTCGTTTATTATCACAAAGTGTTATATACTTCAAATAATTGTATGGCTGTACTTTGATCTGGCGGGCAGTGCATAGGTTTGCATACGCCAGCCTCACCACAAGCATGTGAGGAATGTGTGGCACTCTGACTTTATGATAGCTCCGGTATCACCGGTTGATAAGGGTTTCAGCTCCATTATAAACTTACAGGGCCCTGGTTGTCCTCTACTGAGACCTTCAATGGAGCATGCCCATGTAGTCCTATTTTACATAGGATTGTAACACAAACACAAGACAAATAGAAATATTAAATGTAAGAACAAAAAACCACAAGGAAAACATGGGCGAATGTTTACACAATCTGGAAAAAAGGTGGCTTGAACGTAGCATCAAGGATAGAAAATAAACAATATATTTTATTACCGACAGAGCATGCTCTCTGTGAAACAGATGCACATGTCAACAGGCAAAAACACAACCTCAGCATCAGATCCAAAGAAGGTATTCTTAAGCTATGAAAACAGCTAGCAAACTACAAAGAAGATGGACTATCACAAGAGAAAAATGGTCACAAAGGCAGACATTCCTAATAGCCAGATTGAAACACTCTCCACCACTAATCTAAGCAATCCAAATAAAACCAAAGGATTAGCTGAGTGTGGTGGTGCATGCCTGTAATCCCAGCACTCAAGAGGCTGAGGCAGAAGGATCGCTATGAGTACACGCCAGCCTGGGCTACAGAGTGCGTCCAGGCCAGCCTGAACTGCGTAGTAAGACCCTGTCTCCAAAAATAAAAAATAAAAATCAAGGATTAAACACATCTTCAAAAAATTTTTATTGAGAATTTGAGGCCAATATTTCATAACTATAATAATACCCTGGTATAACATTGGATCTTAAATTCTAAAATATTACCAAAAACATCATCCAATAAATGTGTGTAAATGTGAATAATTTCTTTAGAGACATTAGACTTTAATGTGAAGATAAAAATCATTCCTATTTAGCTCTTTCATACAAATAAATATTGCTGAAGTTCTTTATTTTTCAAATTAAGACCCTTAAGGTGAAATTCATTTGTCAAATTATCCACTAGGTAGTATAAATTCTAGCCTCGCTTTTTATAGAATAATCACAAAATGTTTCAAAGAAAAGGAAAATAGGTTTCTGATAAATGTGGAAACTTCCATCCATTCAAACCCCCATGCTGAAGGAGGCCAAGGTGGAGCCTGGGTGAGCCAGAATTCAGGGCTTCAGAACTCCTGGGGTGTCCATAATTGTGGGTCTTCATTTAGCAGTTGAATAAGTAGTGTGTGTGTGTGTGTGTGTGTGTGTGTGTGTGTGCTTGCACACACGTACATGCATCCCTGTATTTGTGCATGCTTGTGTGTGTATCTTAGGACACGTCAGCTTGAAGATAGCTCTATGTGCTTTGCATTTCATGAGTCAAGGGAAAAGAGGCTCAAACGCTGACTGGAGACTAAACAGCTGACCTTCTAGGAGCTCTTCACGAAACGCTTGGCCAAAATAGTAAGATGGACAATTGAGGATCTCTTGTTAAAGATCAACTTTCCCATGGAGCGAAAGAAAGGCAGAGAAGCGGGACAAAAGACGTGCATCTTAATCCTGACTGTCATTCATAAAACACCCTTTGTCTATTCAGAGCGATTTCAGGACTTGGCTCTATGGGCCAAGAGTAGAAAAGAACAAGAAGGGATTTTTATCACATTACACTTTCAATGAACTGAGCTTTCTATGAAAGAATTCAAACCCACTTCATTCAGAACTTTTTTTTTTTTTAAACAAGGAATTGTTTCAAGTTAGAGATGCCTCCTAGGAAGTGTTTTTGCTGAATGACTCTAGAAAACGTTCTTTTTTTAAATTGGTGATTTGTTAACTGAGTTGAAACCAGGGAGGAGGAAAAGAAAATAAGGTGTTCAGTTTTTTTCATAAAGATTACTTGCCTGGCTAAAAGATATTTTCCCTTGAGCTCAATAAATACACTAAACATATGCCTACTCCACAGGGTCATAAATCCTTGTGTGACCGTTCTCTGCCCTTCCCCCACGACAACAGTTGACCAGAAGGGCGGGCAAGCCATTTGCATGCACTGAGTGAGTCTCATTTCAAGCCTTCCCAAGATTAAAAAAAAAAAAGGAATGCATATGCTTACCCAAAGCTATTGATCCAGCTACTGGATAAGGATTCCAGATGCTAAGGGAAGCTCATGAAACAAGCAAGCTTCCTCTGGAGGCCTCGTCCCTCCAGGCATCAGCAGAAAAGTTATGATCAAATATTTATTAGCGGTGCCTCTGGCTGAGCTGTCTAAGCAGAGGGAAAATAAGGCATCTCAGGCAAAGGCTGGATTGCTAATTGAGCGCTGCTTAGATACAGACGCATCTGCTCTTTAATTACCCAAAGAGGTCTCCAAGCACCCCTCCCTCCTGCTCCTGGGATGCAGATGCCTATTTATTTTGCAACTGTATGTAGTCATGGAATTTCCAGAGCCATTTGGGTCTGCAAAAGAAACCCACGGCCAGTGAGTCAGAATGCTAACTCATGCGTTATTATCTGGTAAAGGATTATCTGGTAAAGTAGGAGATGAGGCTGGGCACAGTCATGAGTAGTTTGGGTCACTGCAGGTGGGAAATGACACTGGTTCTTTGCTCTCTCCTTGTCTTAGTCAATTTTCTGTTCCTGTAACCAGATACTGAAGACTGGGACATTTATACATTGATGTCTATTTGGCTTATGGTTCTGGAGGCCAGGAAGTCCAGGACCATGGCACCATATCCGCTGAAGGCCATCTGGCTGTGTCCCAACATGGCAGAGGACATCACATGGCAAGACCCAGCAAATGTCTCAGTTCAAATCTCCCTTCCTCTTCTTACTAAGCCACTTAGTCAGTCCCATCATGGGGCCCCACCCCGATGACTTCATCTAATCCTAAGAACTTCCCCAAGTCCCCACCTTCAAATACCTTCCACACAGGAATTTGCAGTTTAGATTTTCAACACATGAAATCTGGAGGAACACATTTAAAACTACCACTCTCCCATGATGGAGTTCACACTGATATCCCTTGCCACCAGTCCCTTGCTCCACCGGAAACCTCTCTCATTGGCATCACCCAATCACTCACCTAAGTTTTAGTGCAGAAAAGCCAGAGCTAGGGGTAGTGACATCTCATGTAGTTCTCAGAAAGAGAATTCTAATGGGTATCTTGGACTTATTTCTTGCATATATTTCTGAACCCTTAATAACAGTAATCTCAGCTGTGAAATAACAAGCCAAACTGCATCTGTGTGGTCTGTAGTCAGAGCCACTGGTTCTAAACATCCGAGAGGGAGCAGTCTCAACATTAAGTGGAGAAAAAGCTTTATGTAGTTATTTTTTTTAAAGTGAACCCAGAGCCTTGGTTTTAAAATAATAGAAACTCTACTTTGGGACCTTATGATTTAGTAGGTTTTCATGCAGCCTAGAATCGGGCTGGATTTCTAGAGGCCAAGAATTTTCCAAGAAGTTCTTGAGGCCTAAATGCTATCAACCTGAATGCATTCATTCATCCTATGAAACAGCTCCAGGAGGAATCAGGTTCTCTCTTGACCAGCCAAGGTGTGGGCACCCCTTGCAGACCGTGTCTGGGGTCCTGGGAGGGCTGGGCTGGCAGCTGCACTGTTTGTGTTTCCATTTTCCTGTGCCGTGCAGAGAGGACAACCCGGCCCTGATTTGTGCCAGGTGTTGCAAGGACAATCACTTGCTTTCTGGTGCTGTAGTAAGCCAGAAAATACTAAATAGAATCCCCCCAAACAGTGGCTAGGAAAACAATCTGATTGTAGCTGTCCAGTTAAACCTGCCCACACAGTTTCCACCCTAAGCCTCGACTCGTCTTTTTTCTTTAGCTATCATTGCTGGGCTAGAAGATCACACCACAACTCCGAGTGTAGAGATTGGCACGGTGAACCCAGGTAAAGAGGACCACATACCAACCACGAGTGGTTCTCAAGCGCCTCAGCCGTCTCCTAGCCTGACGACTCAGGTGAGTATCCCGGCAAGAGAAGGATTATTTACTCCAAAGACTTGCGATCACACATAAGCATGGAAGGTATATTATGTTCATATTGTAAAACCAGCATGAGCCACCATGCAAAGGAACAGTTGCGTGGCTCATAACAAAAGCGGTTTCCTGATTTCATCTGGTGAGCAGGACGATCTTAGATGATGCCAGAATCAAAGAGCAGGACTTCTCAAACTAGTAAGGAACCGGGTCTTTAAATTTCTAATCTGCGGCATGGGTTTTAATACAATAAAAAGTCTCTTCATGTTATGATGATGTGGTTGCTCTAAGTTCTATATGTATTTTGATTAGAGTGGTATCAGTCATGGACCACACTCATAAAAACCATGTGGAACCTAAACCAGACACGTTTCCTCACCCAGTGAATTGTTACTGATGTATGACTTAAGTGGCTGCTATAGGCTAGGAACTATTACTTAATAGGTGAAAAATGGATGCCCAGGTGCAAGGAGGGAGGAGGGAGGTGAGCCACACCCTTGGTCCTTTGGAGATTCATAATTCCTTGGTAATGAACACAGGCTCCTGCTTGCCTTCTGCACTTCTCTCTGCATTGCTTTATCTACTTCAGCCCTGTGGGCCTTTCTACCCTTAACACACCAAGCTTGATCCGTCTTATGTTTCCTTTTTCTCTACCCAGAACTCTCCTCACACTCCCTTGGCTGACTTTCACGATTGTCAAAATCAATGTTATCTCAAAGAGATTTAATTGAAATAATCCCGTCCCCAATCTCAGGAGTTATTCTTCAGCCCTGGGGTCTACAAACCACCCAATTATTTTTATAAACTTTTCCTGGAACCCAGCAATGGAGATTTGGTGGGAAAGTATGTGGTAGCATTTGTACTGTAAGAGCAGAATTGAATTAGCTACAGCCTGCAGAGCTGAAAATATCTACCTTTGTTGCCTTTTGTGAAAAAGTTTGTCCAGTGTAGTTATTTTCTTCACCACATTTAAAAATTACTTTCTGAGCTGGGTCCAGTGGTATATGCCTATAATTCCAGCAACTTAGGAGGCTGAGGCAGGAGGATTGCAAGTTCAAGGCCATCATGGGCAACTTGATGAGACTATACCTCAAAATATAAAACAGAAAGGGCTGTGGATGTAGCTCATGAGTAGAGCATCCTTTGGTTCAATCTCCTGTACCTGAGTTCAGTCCTCACTACTGCAAAACAAAACAAAATAAAACATTACCTCTGTATTTGTTTACATGCTGTATTTTCTTCTTTTTTGTGTGTACTCATGTGTATAGCAGCACAATTTGTCATAGCTAAATCTTGAAAACAACCAAAATGCCCATCAACTGAAGAATGAATAAAAAGATGTGGTATGTTTATACAATGGAGTACTACTCAGCTATAAAGAAAGATAAACTCCAGGCTTTTATAGGTGAATGGATGCAACTAGAGACCGTACTCATAAGTGAAATAAATCAGACTCGCATGTGTAAACATCATATTGTCTCCCTGGTGTAAGAAGCTGAAAGAGTAAATAAGATCCAAAAGATACAACAGATACTGTGAAAGGGAAAGAAACTGCTCAAAAGGAAAGAACAACTGGGAAGGGGGAAAGGAGAAAAGAAAGAAAGAAGGGAAAAAAAAAAAAATATATATATACATACATACACACAAGGTAGCTAATTGTACTGCTAATTTCTATTTGTTCATTGAAAGGAACAGTTAAATGTTTGTATTGTTGGATCAGTTTTGTATGCCCATATCTGGTAATCTGAGCAACTACACCATATGACCCAGCTATTGCCCTTCTGAGTATTTTTCCAGAAGAATTGAAGACATCATACATGCTGTATTTTCATACCCTCCCACCCAGCTCCGTCTGTAAGCTTCAGGAGGTTATTACTCATATTCCAAGGGCTTGAAACGACCCCAGGCCCATAGAAAATACTCAGTGGCATATTTTTTATGTGGCAAAAATCACAGAAATAAAACTTACCATTGTAACAGTTTATAAGTACACATTTCAGTAAAGTATATTCACATTGTTAAACTGATCTTTGGAATTTTTAGACCTTGTAAAATTGAAATTTTGCACATATTAAATAATGGCCCCTTGTTCTTCTTTTCCATTGGCTTGGTAACTGCCCTTCTACTTTACCTTACCAGTGGAATCTTACAGAATTCGTCCTTTTGCGATTGGCTTGTTTCACGCAGCCTAATGGCCTCAAGGTCCGCGTGCTGTTGCCTGTGTCCGGCGTCCCCTCCTCCTTGAGGCTGGATCCTGTTCCACCGGATGTGGGCACCACCTTTTATTTACCCATGCAGCCATCCAAGCCCATTTGGGTGTCTTCTTCCACCTCGTGGCAATTATTCGTGTGGGGTTTTCATCCGAAAGTGGGATTGCCTGATCATAATACAGTTTTATTTTTATTATTTTGAAGAGCTGTCATTCTGTCCATAGCAGCTACACCATTTTACATTCCCATGAGCAGTGTACAAGGATTCCAGTGTCCTTCTGCAGTAATTGATGTTTCCTGGGGTATTTTGATAGTAGCCATTGTACTAGAGGCGGGGCATTAGCTCCTGTGGTTCTGATTTGCATTTCTCTGGTTAGTGACCCTGAGTGTCCTGTCACACGCTGATTGGCCATTTGTGTGTCTTTTTCTTCTTTTTTTTTTTTTTTTTATCTTTTTGAGATGGGTTTCTACTATGCAGTTCCGGTGGGCCTTGAACTCACTTTTGTAGCCCTGGCTGGCCTCAAACACACAGAGATCCTCCTGCCTCAGCCCCCTGAGTGCTGGGATGACAGGCATACACCACTACACCCGGCTGGGTGTCTTCTTTAGGGAGATGTCATTTCTTTTTTGTGTGTGTGTGTTTTTTTGTGTGTGTGTGTTTTTTTTTGTGTGTGTATTTTTCCATTATCGGGAATCGAACTCACAACTGTGTGTTTTTTTTGTGTGTGTTTTTTTCTGGTACAGGGAATCGAACTCACAACCTTGTGCTTGCCAGGCAGGCACTGTACCACTGAGCTAAATCCCAAGCCCCAGGGAGATGTCATTTTCAAGTCCTTTGCCCACTTCATCATTGAGTTATCTGAGTTTTTGTTGCTCAGTTGTAGGAGTTCTTTACACACATACCAGATACCTGATTCCAAATGTCTTCTCCGATCCTGTAGGTTGCCTTTCTGTTCTGTTGCTTGTGTCCTTTGACGTACACAAGCCTTTAAGTTTGATGCGGTCCCATTTCTTTTTGCTTTTGTCACATGTGCTCACAAGCTTGTTTGTTAAATCTTACCTTGGCATGAACTTTGGAGTGACAGAACCAATTCTTTAGAATCTTCAAAGTGCTTGATATCTTCTAGTGTGCTGATGAGGACACTAACACCTGGCAGCCTTCTGAAAAACACAGCTGGAGAGAAAGGTCCTGACTTCTCCCTACACACCCCAACCTCCAGGGAGAGAGGAGAGGCGGGCGAGGCGCTGAAGGTTAAATCTAGCTTCATCACCATTAGCCAGTGACTTAGTCAGTCATGCGCATGTAATGACGTCTCCATAGAAACCCGGAAGGACAGGGTTCAGAGAGCTTCAGGGTAGCTGAACTCATGAAAGTTCCCGGATTCCTGGTTTATGCCCTCAGCGAGGGCACAGAAGCTCTGCACCCCTTCCACGTGACCTCACGCTATGCATCGCTTCACCTGCATCTGGTAATGTCCTCTGTAATAAACCCGTAAACGTTAAAAAACCAGACCCATCCACAAGTCCTGCTCTGTCGCAGATGGCTGTGAGCTGGGACGCACTATCAGATCTCCCTAAGCCTCGTTCCTACAGTGGGACTAACAGTAGGATCGACTTCATGAATGAGAAAACATGCAAAGGGCTGTCAGGAGGTGAGCGCTCAGCAAGGCTGGCTGCTGCTCATGGAGGGAGCCAAGTAAGCGCGATACATTTATCTGCCAAAGACATGTTAGAGGGGAACAATGCTTTCACGTTCAAGGTAGAGAAGGGACGAAAGCCCACTGATCTGGTGTTTCTGCAAGTGCCAGGAAGTCAGCATGCCAGATGCTGGAATGCATTTCTAGGGTGACCTCAATTCCTTCCCATGTCCCCCCTTGTTGTTGGTTTTCTTGTTTCTCCTTTGAACTGTTGCCATCACATTTGTATAATTATGCTACTTTGAGTCAATTGTTAGGGCAGAGGGTAACCTTTAAAACACGTGGCTTCATTTCTTCTTCTGCCTCATTTACATCTCTGCTAGGTGCCAGCAAGTGCAGAACGTACAACAAGCATTGGTGTTGAGGATGTGTCAACCCCAGGAATCCCAACCCACAGTCCCCCAAAAAGCCAGACAACCACAACCTCACCTATGGTGACCAGCACCTCATCAGGTAAAAAGCCCGGACATCTCAACAAGGGTTGATCTATGACTGCAAAATCTATGTATTCCCGAAGTTCATGAACAAATATAATAGTAAAGAATAAAGTGGAATGAAGAGTGAATTCTCAACCATATGGTGGGTTCCAAGTTTGATGTTTGAGTTGCTAAATCAAATCCAGTTTTGGGGGGAATGCTGGAAATAATCTCTCTACTTTCTTGGTAACTAGTGCTAATGTTACACTTATCTACAAGGATAAGTAGCCACTGAGGTTTTTTGGCTGGCCCTACATTGAGGACTTTGTGTTGATACCCAATAGCATGAAACTCGGCTGATATATGTGTCTTTTTTTTATCTTTTTGAGACAGGGTCTCACAATGCAGTTCAGGCTGGCCTTGAGCTCACTTTGTAGCCCAGACTGGTCTCAAACTCACAATGATCCTGCTGCCTCAGCCTCCTGAGTGCTGGGATTACAGGCATGCACCACCACAACTGGCCCTTTTTTTTTTTTTTGGTACCAGGAATCAAACTTATGACCTTGCACTTGCCAGGCAAGCGCTATGCCACTGAGCTGTACCCCCAGCCCCCATAAGCCTTAATAGACTCCACACTACTATTTACCATCTTACAGTAAGTTCGTGCTTGTATACATGGGACAAGATTCTAAACCATACTTACCAGGATTTGGGGTTGTATTTGTGATCTAGAGTTAGCACCTGCAGTGAGCAAAGAATCAAGAGGAGAAGCTATCAACAACAAGAAAAGAATTACCAATATAAGTGATAATTGTAGTGCATTTCAAAATTTTAGAGAGTGACTCATTTTTAACATGAGATAGTAGCTAATTAGCAGCAGAAAATAAATTCTTTCAGGTTAAGTATTTTTTCTATAATACCAAAAATCCCCATGATACTCCCTCAAACAAAAAAATTCTCAGTTACCTGGATAATACTCATTCCTCTCCATTCTTATTCCCTGCCCCACATGTTACAAAAAGTGTGACTTAGGACACACTTCATGCTTCACTATGCCAAGATGTTTCACATATGAGTTAAATTGTTATTACAGCTGGGCCTCAGTTACTTGGTTACTATGGAGACTGGGGGAGGAGGATCTTAAATTCAAGGTCAGCCTGGGCCACTTAGCAAGACCCTCTCTCAAAATAAAAAATAAAAAGGGGTAGGAGTGTTGCTCAGGTTAGAGTTCAACTCATAATACTTAAAAATAAAAAGGCATTCCAAGCACTTGATGTTTAAGAGAGTAATTTTTTTTTAGGGCCACAGATGTCCACTTTCCCCATGAAATGCTCAAGTGTGATGATCACACATGATGCATGCTCTTAATCACAGACAGTGTAATAAGGAGGGAGCGTGCAGTACAGGACTAATAAGCTCTGAGTCACTGACAGATCTTCTACAAACTTACTTAATTTTCAGTAATCCATTTTGTAACTGACCGTGCCTTTGACAGTGACAGTGGTGTATTTTGACCCCAGAATCAGTAGCCACCAAGTTAAGACATGAGAAACAAATGGTTGACCTAGCTCTGCTGAGAATTGGCTTTGAGGAATGACTTCTTTTTTTCTTTTTTGTCTTTTTGAGACAGGGTCTCACTATGCAGCTCAGGCTGGCCTTGAGCTCACTTTATAGCCCAGGTTGGTCTTGAACTTGCGGCGATCCTGCTGCCTCAGCCTCCCAAGTGCTGGGATTACAGGTGTGCACCACCATGCCCAACTCAAGAGTGACATTATAAAAGTTGATTTAATGACACTGTTGCTCTAAGGCCCAACAATGGGCCCAAGGCCCAAAGGCCCAAACCCAGCAGTCTCCCCACCGCTTTCTGTGGTGGGGTTCTACCATCCAGTTGTGCTCCATATAAGTGTTCATTTGATCAATGTAGGGAGAGCTGGATTCGGGGCCCACACGCTGGGACCATTTGAAAAGGCATCTTTCTTAGGGAGAGTTGTGGTACAGAGGAATAGCTTATTTCAAACCCAACCACTAGAAAAAGTAAGCATCTTTTTAAAGATGGTCAGCTAGTGTGTTGAGAAAAACCAACCCCAAACTCAACCTTAGACTGTTTCTCCTCCTCACAGCACAAATCACATCTGATGTGAGACAGAGGAGGAGTCCCCCACCCCAACACCAAGCAAGTAGGCAATTCTGCGGTGGGCACCAGCTGGGTATACTCTAATCCAGCTGGATTCCTGTTGTATCAGGCTGGTGTCGGATCCCATAACCAAGGACTCAGCGTCCAAACCTTCAGAGGCCAATTTTGAACCCCAGGAAGTTCTATTTGTACTTCAGACCAATCAGCTACAAATCAGGGTTCCCACACCACTTCTCTGGGTTCAGTTAATTTGAAGAGTGGTTCCAAGAGCTCAGGGCAACACCTCTGCCTGTTTATTATAAAGACCATTACACTGATACCAATGAAGAAACAGACAGGGCAAGGTACTGAGGAAGAGGTATAGTTTCCATGCTCCTCCGGGAGCCTTCCTATGTCCAGCCTTAGGGAAGTTCCCTGAACCCTTCATTGCACAGGCAACTGTATCGAAATGTGACGAGACAGAAGCATGTAATTTAATGCAAATATACTGACTGGGAGAAGACAGCAGGGCCTGCCTGTTCAAATTCTTGGCAGAATTCTTCAATTGCTTCTGTGCAGCAGTCCTTCCTCCCGGCATGGGGCAGGGCCCCTCTGCAATCGTATGCCTGGGATGGGGAGGGGAGAGGGCAGAGAATTTCTTTATGGCCACCTTGGCAAAAGAAGGGCAGGGAAAGCTTAGAGTTTCTGTGGACCACTTTGGAGAAAAGAAATTCTACTTTCAGTGGCCTCCCTTGGAAGGGAGTTATGAGCCGGAAACTGAAGGAAAACAAACAAACAAAAAACAAACAAAAATAAATTCATAGCCAGTTTTGCTTTTAATTAGGACATAGCCAGTTTTGCTTTTAATTAGGAAAGGTGTTGAATATCTAAGGATATTTTTAAGTGTGAACTAAGATTCTCTCCAGTTTCTCATTGAATCAAGGCATCTTGTTTTCTCTATCTGTCAACTAGCTAAACAGCCACTACTGAGTGTTAAGGACTCAGCCTGCTAAGAAGTTAGCAGAAGAAACAAAAACCATTTCTATTTGAAATTAGGAACTGTGTAGAATTACATAAAAGAAACTCACTATGCAGAATAGTCACATGGCAACTATTAACTGCACAGAAATCCTAAAGTGCCTAAAGCATCAACACCCAGGGTGTGTTCTCTCCTCAGATTTAACTGAGCATACTGCCACCCTGTGAAGTCTGGATTTCGATACCACCAAAGCAGAGAATACATAGCATGATGTGAATCACAGTTCTGCTACCTCTTTCCTACCTAGAGTATTGCTTTCTTTCTTCTTTTTTTTTTTTTCTTTGGTACTGGGAATCAAACTCACAACCTTCCGCTTGCAGGTCAGGGGCTGTGACCCGCTGAGCTATATCCCCAGCAAGTATTGCTTTCAAAGTGAAAAACAGATCTCATCACCATTTGTAAGCTTTTCATGATCTTGGTCTTGGACTACGGTTACCCAGCTCTGAATTCTTTTGCTACCATAATTTTGGACACTTTCTGAACATTTATTTCACATCTCTGGTTTACTATACAAAAATACTATGAAGCCATAGATGTGTTTGTAAATTTAATAATAGTTACAAAGACAGTAGTATCCTGTCAGAGCTTGCTTAACCAACCTACACCCAATTTATTTAAGAAATTATCCTTTTTGCATATTGTCTTGGTTACTCTTCTCGTTGCTGAGACAAAATACCCAATTCCCAAAATGAAGGAAGGAAAGGTTTATTTAACTTGAAGTTTGTGGAGGTTTCAGTGCATACTTGGCTGGCTCAAAGGCAGAGAGGCACATGGCAGAGGGCAACTGTTCATGGCAGCAGAAGATAGCAAAAGCAACAAGAGCGAAAAGGGAGGAGGGGCAGGGAGCAAGGCTCTTTCCCTCCCTTATATCGTACACAAACTATCTGCCCCAGGGCGGTTGTAGCACTCACACCCATAATCCCAGCATGGGATCATGGATCAATCATAAACTCTAGAAGCCTGCACCCATGACTGCATAAGTCTTTGGGGGGGACATCCAGACACAAACCATAACAGATATATTTTACTATTATCCATTCAGAGTAAATTCACCCTTTACCTATTGTTATACTATTAAATTTATTAAATCCTAATAATTATTAAATTTATTAAATCCTAATAATTCTGTGTCATCTCTTCACAGTGAATGTGACTAAATCAACACAGACAGCCGTTCATAAAGGTAGGCAAGATTTTGGTATTAATGTATTCCTATGGGGGTAGAAAAGAAAATCTTCTGAACCTAATCTTTGAGCTAAATTACATTCTTTCTTGGGTTTCTTCCAATCTCAATCTGTCTCTGTCTCTGTCCCTCTCTCTATGTCTGTGTGTCTCCTCCTCTCCCCTTCTCTCTCTCCTTCTTTCTCTCTCTCCTTCTCTCTCTCTCCCTCTCTCTCTCTCTCTCTCTCCTCTTGCCTTATGAAAAGGGAATTCCCTGCATTTGAATAGAAGCAGGCTGGGGGAGGTAGCTCAGTGGTAAAGCACTTGCCTAGCATGCACAAGACCCTGTCCTAATGCCTCAGCACTGCAAAAAATAAAATAAGTAAAATAAAATAAAAAACTAGCTGGTGCTTCTCTACTGGTGAGCTAAATTCCAACAGATGTGACATATTTGCTATGTGCAGTAGACAGTGCCGTTATTTTGGTGACATGCAGTATGTGTTTCCTAACTAAGTCTCAATGCTTTTATTCCCTCCCATTCAGATGGCTTATCAGCATCGACCCTGGCTGGAATTGTCTTCGGGGTCTTAATCGCCTTGGGCTTACTCTGTGGCATCCTCTTTATATTTGTGCGGAACATGTCCAAATGATTTTTGTAAGTAAATCCACCTCCATAGCCAGGGATGGTGGCACACACTGTAATCCTAGCACTCTGGAAGGCAGTTCACGCTCAGTCTGGGCAACTTAGCAAGATCCTCTCACAAAATTAAAAAATAAAAGAAAGGCTAAGAATGTAACTCAGTGCAAAGGCCCTAGGTTCAGTCCCCAGTATAAAAAAAAAGAAGAAAAAAGACCTACATGTTGCATGAAGGAAGGCAATCACACCCCAAACTCAAAACTGTGTTTTTTTGTTTTTTTTTAAAATAAGTTTATTGGTATAATTTAGATATCCATAGTGATCACATTCATCATAGGAAAGTTGTACCTGTACATGATATAACTTAATTCTTCTTTGTCCCCCTTTCACCTCCCCTCCTTTCAATCTCTCTTCCCCTCCTTATTTCCAAAACTGTTTTCATTTTATCCTTCTTTCCTCATTTTTTCTTTTCCCTTCCTTCCCCACCCCCACTCTCTAGTTTCCTTTTCCTTTTGAAAAATGTCTTCCTATTTCACAATTTCTATTATACATTTTGGTTTTCATTTACACTTTCAGTTTTTCACACCAGAGAGACAATTCCATATTTACACATGTGTATTTGATTTATTTTACTTAAGAGTATGGTCCCAAGGTCCATCCATTCAGCTATAAATGTCTCAGGTTTATCCTGCTTTATGGCTGAGTAGTACTCCATTGTATAAAAACCAAACTCAAAATTTTGAACTAGTAGAAGCTTTTATATAAAGTCCACGATCAACAGCCTGTTGCCTCCAGAAATACTATATCCAAAGTTTTTCCACAAGAACTTAGGCCTTGGGACTGGGGATTTAGCTCAGCGGCGCAGCGCCTGCCTGGCAAGCGCGAGGTCATGAGTTCAATTCCTGGTACCAGAAAAAAACCAAAAAAAAAAAAGAACTTAGGCCTTAAAAGTGCCCCGTCTCCCCCCATAAATAAATAAATAAATACATGCCAAAGATAGCTGTTAAATTGACTTCTACTGAGATCTGACTAAATCTGATCTCTTTTCTTGATTCTCCAACTAACCAAATGTAGAAGAAAACCCGAAGAAGTTTTAATTTGATGCCTAATTCCCCTACCTCTGGCCATCAGAAGTGAGTAGTTTCTGGAAAAACCCCTGTCCCAGAGCCAACCCTGCATTCCAGTGAGGAATTCCCTGGTGATGGACGAATCTCTTTTATCAGCTCTCTCCTTCCACCCCTGCCCCACACGCTCCACACACGTGACCATCATATATGGTACCCCACCCTCGAGGGTGGATGAGAGAAAGGAATACGTTCCTCTTAGTAAACTTCCTCATGGATTCAGAATATTCAAATTCACGTTCAGAGGAAAACACTTTCTCAAGATGGAGAGGAAGGGAAAGGACAGATGATATACAGCCAGGGAATCAAGGGACACAGTTGAGACATAGCTGCAGATAGAAGGTGTTTGTCAGTGCCGGGAAATCTAACTTTGGCAATGTGAGGACCAGGGGCAGAGGAGGCATTTGAGGTGGGGGTGGGGGGGAAAGGCAGAGTGTCCCGGAACAGGAAGACTTAGAGAAAAGGACAGGGAAGACGGTGACTCATGGGGCTGCTTGTCACAATGCCAGTAAGAAGCAGTAGTTCCCTTTCTTTGTTTCCACAGGTCCTAAGAGTCAGAGGATCATGCCCTCTGCCCACATGTTTGGAAAAAGAGTTTGTGGCTTCCCCTACTCCCTGTCCCCAAGCTCGTGGGAGAAGATGACCCGTGGACCACTCATGCACCCACTCAAAAATCCATGGCGATTCCCCCACTTGCCAAATACAGCAGAAGGAAAGATAATTCACACGACTTGGCTCCTCTGAGCACCTGCCTTTTGAAGAAATTTTTAAATATAAATTTGAGAGTTGACAATTTAAACACAAAGCACATGGAAAAGGAGACAAAATTATAAACTGATTGTCACCAAGACAATAGCATTCAATCGATGTTAGTGACTGTGCTCTCATCTCACTCGTGTCTTCGTTCTGTTTTTGTTCAAATGCAGTGGAATCTGGAAATGTTTATATCCATGGAGACCTTGGTCCCGAGCTCCCGCCAGACGTTTTGCAATTGCCAATCTGTTGAAATGTACACACTCCAGTCTAGTTTGGTCTGGTTTTTAAAGCCTGATTGGGTATGAGCAACATCTAAGCTTGGATTATATATGATAAACAACTGCTTTTAGGGGATCCAGATAAATTTTATGCATTTTAGGTCACAAACAGGAAGTCTGTCCTTTGAGGAAGGTACTTTGATTCTGGCTAAAGGTTACTGAGCAACTCTGGGCCCCGTGATGACAGAATGACTCAAAAGATGTGTTCCTGCCTGCCCGCTCCGCTTCCCCCAACTGTTGGCAGCCAAAGCTAAGCAGCAGCTTTTCTCACTCCCGTGCCACACAAATCTACCAGGTTGACCCTTTTGTCTTGGAGTACAGAGATCACGGCCCCACATGCCTAGGAAGTTGATGGATGCCCCATGGTACTAGAAAGTCAACTGTTCTACAAACCAAGAACCCAGCTTGATCCCCAGGCAGAAAGAAAAAAGCAGTTGGATTTAAAGACACAATTTAAAATAAAAGATGTTCTCAGTGTTTACTACATCCTGAGCCTTTCACTGGGATCATGTTGGAAAGAGCAAAATAAAGCAGCGCAAGGGGCCCGGTCTATCCCAGCACAATGCAGCCTAGTGTTTCTTTTCCCATAGACACACTGGCTTCTTTTTCTTACACAGAATGTTTTTATGTGGACCAGATGCTCTGTCACAGTCGGGGTTGTGCAATCCTGATATCCTCTAAACTCAAGAGTTCATAAAACAGGAAAAAGTAAACGATCGGTCGGAAGCACAGCCCACCCATCCTCCTTTCCCCACCCCTGTTTTTTTTTTTTTTTTGGCAGTAATTCGTGGATGTTATTTTAAACAGTGCATCCAGTGGGTTCTCCAAATCCAGCTGCCCCACCAGGTTCCACACTTGAATCAGCTGGGTGAGAGAAGTGAGTTAAAGGGGCCGAGTGACTTTAAGTAGCTTTTCCTTTCATCAGACAGATTCCTGCACGGGAGTTAGGAGTAATGGCCCCGTTGCTTCTCTGTCCTTTCTCTGCACCTCTCACTGTGAAAGGTAACAGTCCCGGCCCGAATCATACACTGGACTTGGAGCCTGCTGGGGCGGGGTTGTGGGTTTCTTGGTCACATTTTGTTGGTGCTCAACGCAGTGTAGACATATTTTCAAATAAAACAGGTGATTGTGTACAAGAATGGGTTGGATGTTTGGTTGGCAATCTCCACTGAGTCTGAGTCATCGATAGAGGAAAAAGTGAGGTTCTACCTGCCACCTAGGTCTCTGACAAAGAAGAAGGGCAAAGGCCAGAGAAAGAGACAGGGTGGAAAATGAGTGGTAACCTAGTGACATTTTTTTGCCCTCTCTGGTCCCAAAGGGTTGGCATGTTTTGCCTGCATTACAGAGAAAAGCCAAGTGGGGGAGCAATTTCATCTTGCCACTTTGCTAACTTGACTTCAGCGACGTAGGGCTTAGCTATCCAAGAAGAGGAGGGGAGAAACCCTGGGGGGAATCCGACTGCCCATAGGCCTGAGCAGCAGCTCCTCGCTCCAGAACCCTGTTGCAGGGATGTCTCAGCCTTTCTTGCCCATCCTGCCCCTGCCTAGCTGGGGAAGGAGGACCCTGAGGGCTGCCATGTGCTCCACCCCACCCCCACAGCAGTATGGGGGCTTTTATTGTCAAGGTCTGGGTTCCCTTGGGCAACACTGTCCCCACTTGTAAAGGTTATGTCTGAGAGAAGTTATCATCTTTCATCCCTCTGAAGACATTATCTTTTGTGGGAAATGCTTAAGACTAGAAGCGTTCAGATTTCACACTGCTGTTCAGATTTTGGGATATTTATAAGAGTTCACTGGTTGAGCATCTCTAATCTAAAAACCCAAAATACAATCCAAAACTGAGCATCCTACCGGCTCTCAAAGAGTCCTGAATTTTGGAGAATTTCAGATTTAAGGATTTTTAGACTAGGGATGCTCAGCCTTATATGAGGTTTTGTTACAGCTGCAAGAACTTCTTTATCCTTCTTAAGAACTTCCTTGAGATTGGTCAGAAAAGCTTCCTATTCTAGCAGAAAACTGGCCATGCCTACCTAGTCCCACCACCTGGGAGGGAAGGGGTCCTCTGCTATGTCAAGTACGAATTTCCATTCCATTCTAATCCACGTCACCCCAGGAAATGACCAGGAGCTGACAGAGCTGCCGAGGGTAATTCCAAAAACAGGGAGATGACTCTATCCATGCCGCCATCGGGGACATCTGTGGAGCAGGCAGTGCTGAACCTGTTTGCACTCCATTAAAGCCTTAACCTTTGTCTCCTTTCAGCCAGAGAACAAATTGAAAATCAGGGCTTAGTTCTGCTTCGTGCACCCCTTCCTCAGATCAGCTTTAAAGGACAAGGAAAGAGGAAGCAACTTCATCCTTTGCTGACGCCATCTTTATTTTAGTTTGGATTTGTCTAGTCTTTCAAGGCATAGAGATGTTTGTGACAAATTCATGCATGGAGAATGACACAGGTCTTGAAGTTAAGCTTTCTGTTTTACTCATCAAACAGCCAGTGAGAAATGAGGGAAGAATTTCCCTAAACTGTAGCTGAGTCTTAACACACTGCTAGAAATACAG